AGTTTTTTTATACAAACCAACAATTAAGGACACCATTAAGGGATAAGGTTTATTAGCAGATACTGTTTTCTAGTTAGTGAAAATTTATAGAATTCGAGAAGATAAGGTAAATGCTAACTATGTTTACTATACTTCATGAACCCCAATGTTTGATCATTTCTATTGGAGTTTCTAATGAAATACCCTGCTTTATATCTTATTCAATTTGTAGTAAACATAGAAGAAATGCATTAGCCATTTCAAACACATAAAATCAGGATATAGAATTGTTTAAAAAACAAAAATAACTTCCCAGTATATAGGTTCTTGGTGATTTTTCTAACCTTCATTTTTCAGCAATTCATATATTTTCCATGTACATTGTATTCTCATTTTCCTTTCATTAAAGAAGCAAAATTCCTTTTAGTAATTTGATTTTTTTTTAATGAAATCAAAATAGTAATAAAATATATACCAATGAAAAGGACATTTAAGATGCAATAATCATGCCAAGATCTGATGTCAGATCATTGCCCAACATCCTCCAAAGTTCCTTTTCTCTTCTTCAATTATTTACTTAGTTATTTTTATTCAGAAATGAACCTAGCTAATCTAATTTAGGTAACTATAGAGCACATAAGTTGCATACCTGAACTTCACTCCCACCCTTTAAGATCCCAAACAGCAAGATCTTTTTGCTTTTATCAAATATCTTCTAGAATAATAAGCAACTATAATTTTTTTAGTCAGAAGTATAAAATTTTCATCTTGTGATTATATAAAGAGAAAAATATCAAATCTAAAACCAAGTAAAGACTAACTGGAAGAGAGATAAGTATCTTACCTGTATCATAAACCATCTGCTGGATAAGTTCTGTAGCTTCCTATAGAAGCTGCAACCAGAGCTCAGTTGAAGCTCTTCCCAGAGACATTTCCATTGGCACCTTAGAACCTATCGTGTGCTTCCATAGCCAATTTAATGCTCTTCTGTAACAACTCTGCTTCTTCAATTGACAGACCTCTGGAAAGGAATCCAGAAATTATAGCCCGAATAGATGATACCAACAAACCAATTAAATGCTTCTCTTGTCCATTGAATTGTTCACAACAAAACATTACGCAGAGCAGACAATCTTCAAAATTTCTTCCACTGAGTTAAGTAGACAATTTAAACATAAAATAGGACTTTATGAAAATATTAATTAGTTCAGAATTTTCTTAAAGCCATGATCCAACCCTCTGAAAAATGGTTATAAAGTCATTAAAAAGGAAACTAAAGAAAGGAATCTCCCTCACCACTCTCCTCCCTTGAATCCAATCTTATCCCATTACTCGTACTAAAACCAGAGATTGATGGAATCTTTGCGGGCAGTGACCTCTCCGTCCATCGGCTCTGATCATCTTTCCTTATAAGGAAGGAAATATAACAGAAATACAGAAGAGAATCAGAGAATCAAGATGAAGAAGATAGAAACTCATCACCAAATAAAAATTCAAACAAAATCCACTTGACTGCAAAGAAAACCAAGGCATTTGTTGCTGAAAACTTCAAAAGACATATTATACAATGTAGTCCCAAAATTTTCAGGGGTTTTGGATAAATTTCTATTCTTGAAATGGAATAACAAGAGGGATTCTAGAAATTACCATTGGCATTGGGTTCATCGGACTTTAAATCAAACAGGGATAAATTTTCCTTCCTAAGAAACACAGCAGCATGCATTCAGTTAAACCCAAAGCATCTGATTTATAAAATAATATGAATAAGATAAAAAGCAGTAAAACACAGTGAACCCAAATACATTATTTTAAACAAATGAGATATTAGTTCTTCTCATGATAGTGATCAGACACAGTCCAAAGCAGACAACACAATCTATATTTTTTTTTTTTGAACAACAAAAAATAATATTTATTAAAAACGGAGTACAAGGGGTATCCCAAACCCATAAATATTCTAACTTGAAAGGAATAAATTTACAAGATCAGTCCATTCTGATATATTAACACAAGAGCACTTCCAAGTTGTTAAAAAACTTTAGCCTGCAACTTGTCGCCGCAGAATAAGAGACAGAAACTGTGATTTTGAATGCTTGCCGTAAGGTGTCGACACCAAAATTATGGGTCGACACCACACCCGTGTCGGGTTTCTGTCCTCTTTTGCAATTTCTTCAATGGTAAAATTGCAAAACTGATCCTTAAAATTTTACATACTGAGCATTTAGATCCCAAAACTCAATATTCATTCACTTAGGTCCCAAGATAACACCTTCCTTCTTGCAATTTGGGCCCTAAATTTTCAAAATATGTTCATTTAAACCCAAAAACTTCTATTCTTATGCATTCACGTCCTTCTCTTTTCTACCACCCTTATCTCAAACATACCTTTGGGTCTCTCATCCAATCTGTAAGTAGAATTGCCCAGCCCTTTTTTTTAGCTTTTATCCATTCCCAAGATCTAAT